TGGCCCTGCGCTGGGCCCTCTCCAGCAGCTCCTTGTCCTCCCTGAGCTGAGGAGCCCGGAACTGGACACAGCACTCCAGGGAGTGTTAGGGACAGACACGATTTCAGAGCCACCTACGAAGATCAGTCTGTAGAAGTCCCAAACTGCAGGTAACACTGCTACGACACCACGTCCAGCTGGAAGCACGGATGAGACCTTACTCCTCCTCTGGATTCTGCAAGCTGTCTTTTAGAAGGACTTTTGCTGAGGCACCAATCCGTTACAGAGCGGCAGAGCATGAACTTCACGTTCCTCCACAAGGCAGAGAACAGAAGCCACCAAAAGACACATCTTTGTTCTTGGAGCAACCGCCAACTTCACACAAACCCCAGTTACTCCCTGGACAAGGGCCAGCGCCAGGCCATCACCCCACCTCCCCGCCTCCGCCCTTGCGCCGGCCTGAGCACCCAGGGACCCCACGTTTCGACATGGAACGGATGAAGCGGTGGGGTTTTCGCCTGCTGAAACAGAGGGTGCTAACGAGCACTACTGCGATGGAAGAGTTTTGCAGAGAACAGTAGAAAAAACAAGGATTTTGTCAGTATTTGGGCCACAGATGGGGAACACGAATGCTTTCAGCTCTTACCAAGTTCAGTTCCACTTATCCGGGCCTCACAGTTGAGCAACTGGGGGCACCCGATGATGAGAGGCTACAACTCGCTGTAGGTCAGGCTGAAAAAAGAGCAGGTGAGGTGCAGCTGATTCAAAGAGCACGTTTTGCCCTTTGACACTTCCCCGACATGCACGGCTGATGCCTCATCAGCAAAACAGAGTCAAACGGTGACAAAACATGAGGAAAACACTGTCCTGGTCCGCAAGATGTAACCTTCAACAGGAAAAAAACCCCTACTAAGAGCCACATTTTACAGGCGACTAATTAAAGCGAACACTGAAGAACAGAGTCACCAGAATGTGGTTTGTCAACCAGTTACAGTTTTAATATAAAAATGTTTAGTCCAGTCATAAAGCTTAATTGTTCAAATGAAAATGAGTAGTGGAACCAAACGCTTGAACAAGATGATTTAATTTGTTTCAACATCCAGCTTGTTGGGTGACAAAGACAGTAACCTCACTCCAGGACGTACGCGTCCGCACCGACCGCGGCCTCAGCAGCCCAGATGCCTTCACACCCCCCGCACCATGGCAGCTGCATCCCAGGGGGATTTGGCTGAGTTTTGCTGCTTGTACGTAGCCATACACACAGGTTATGTCTGACACAGTCTCCAGGGGGACAGGGACTGGAGTAGCGCCTCATCCCGGGGAGTCAGGGACTGCCAGAGTGCTGCGGAGAACCTTGCGCAGCGTATGGCATCACGTTTGCGGACAGACATACATTGAGATTTTGGTGGTTTAAGTTTAGCGTCGGCCGGGAGTACTAAATTCAAACCAAAAACATTCCAAAAGTTGTTTAAAGAAAATACTGATAACCATCAAAATGATTTCGAAAAAAGTCAAATCACTATGTACACCCATGCCAACTGTAGCTTCTTAGAAAAAAATTAAATGGCATGTTAAAAAAAAAAATAACACCTTTCAGTAGAACATTCTGAACTGTTACCCATTCTGCCAGGACGTTGTAATAATGGTCGTTTGCACACGGAAAAGACTCAGAAAGAAAGCACCTCCCCTTAGGGCAAATAAAGTCCAACAATTCTAGCGAACGATAGCAAAAAAGGGAAGTATTTGCCCTAAATTAACACAAAGGCAAGCTGGAAGAAAGATGGCAACTGTATTTTTACCAGCCTCTTCATAAACAACCATCCATTTTCAGGAAGAGGTTGGAGTATATTACTATCATCTGGAAAAATAATGACGAAAACACAATCTTCCTACCAAATTTCATCACCTCCAAAAACCGTTTTCATCCATTTTTTAATAATCAATCTAAGGTCTTACGCCAACATATTAGAGTTTTGACTCGTTTTACCAATAGACGTTTCAAGGAGGCAAGTCCTAGTCACCTGGCACGGGGTTCCGCATCCTTGGGGTGTCGCAGGGCCGAGACTCCTCAGTCGGCATTTCGACTAACCTGAACCAGCAATCATCCTGCTTCCACAGAGGTGTTCCCACAGACACTTCTGTGACCTCCCATTCTCAGTTAACTTAGTCTTTAACAGACCCCTATTTTTGTTTCCAAACCCTTCACCTGAAATTGTGCCGTCAGACCAATCGGTTTGAAACCACGCAGAAAGAGCAAATCGGATTTTTGGACCTCATATGTTTTAACTTGTATTGCGCATGTTTTTATAAGTTAACAGAGCTTTGCATGAGTTAAGGCACCCATATGCCCAGAAAAAAAAATAAATACCTTGGGCTAAATACAACTAAGTGTTCAGCAGTCATTTAATTGCACAATCGTCTCCCTAATTTGTAGCGTAACGCTGCCAGTGTCTTCCGAGATCCTAAAACACGAGCACTAGAAACTGCGAACGTAGCGGAGAAGGCATTGACAAGACACTCTCAAGGTTCATTCTGTATTCCTGGCTCCTCAAGGTAACTGCTACTCCTAACGTAATTAGCGTTTAGCAGCAAGATCAGCATGTTCTAAGAATGAAATAAATATGCACACAATCAGTACTAATGGTTCAAATGCTCAAACACATTATTGAAAACAGTAATTTTCCAATCTTTCTCCTGCCAATCCAAGATTGCAGAAACAAGACCCTTGGCAACAACATTCACAGCTCTCGGTACCACAGAAGCTTCTGCAAATTCTAGGCCTGAAGTTCTGACGTCTGTGGTGCTGGCGAGGTGTTCTACTGTGTGCGAAGCTGGTAGTCTGTAAAGGGGAAAAGACCCAAACCCCCAGTTTTAGTACACTGTCCCACTAAAGGCAGTTAAGCAGAGCAACAGACTGGGATGAAGCAACAGGAAATAAACCCAGATCTTCGTACAGAACGGCCATGAAAATGGGCTTTGAAGCGATTAAGGCAATTGCAGGCATTCGTGCTCCCAAGCCAGGGAAAAACTAATTATCAAAACCAACAAAAAGCAAAAGAAAACATGCCACTGGTGTCACTTGCAAATGATCTGGTGTCTGTTAGCAGACTGTACTGTACACCTTAACGAATGATGTGTGTAAGCAATGAATGATGTGTGAGCAATTCCCTTTTAAGTTTATATTCCACACATCTCACCAAATCCCAGCTTAACTACAAAATCCTTGAACAGCACTGCTGAGCTGTCCCATGGGGTCTCTCACCCACAAAGGGGTGACTGGGAAAAGCAGCATACCTTAAGCTAACATTTCGCTAAACCCTAGGGTTTCAGGCCAAAGAACAGGAGCAAACCGAAGCCGCGTGGGCCAACGCGTGGGCGCGTCCTAGCGAAAGACCGCAGGCAAGCTGGAGAGGAGCCCGAAGTCTACGGCCTTCTGCTTACCTCCGTTCTGGGTAATGTAACGGACCCATGGGAGAGCCTGGTAGCCACTCTTCTCAATGATCTTTAGGTAGCGAACCTGGAGAGAAGGAGAGGTTAAGAAATAAAGTCTCCCACGTCAGGCAAGCAGCGGTCAGTGAACAAGAAAACAGGTTTTTTGGTCAAAAACATCTTTGCTGGGTAACGCTGAACAGGAATCATCAAGAAGACAAGAAACCGGTGTGTGAAGCGTCCCGCGCGTTAACTTGCCAGTCTTTCTGTTTTCAATACCAACCTGGATTCCTGAAGTGGTGAAATAGGGAATCTCAAACTTGACACTAATGGGAGGTTTTCCTTCCTTATCCTCAGCTTCAACACTGGGAAGCCCGAAGTGAGCCCTCATCAGGTATTCTTTCCCACCCTACCCAAAAGAGAGATTTTTGAAACAACCAATAAAAGCCTTCCAACAATACAAGTCGTTTTCTTAGTGTCTAATTGCTGGACCCCACTAATCATCCCAGCTCCTCCCTAGGGCTTAAAAGTGAACACTTGGTTTCAGTTTAAAAACAAGTAATTTGACCTGCATCTTAAAAAAAGACCAACTTCATACTCAAAGCCAAGAGGAAAACAACCAACCAGAAGTTAAGTTTTTGGGTGCCACTGACCATGGTGATTAAATGGCCCGAGACAGCTGCGCTACCTCACCATCCGCTTCGGAAAAGCTCACGGAGCCACCCAAGCAGCAGAGTCTGACAAACCAAAACAGCTGCTGCTAAATCTGGGCCAAGCGATTACACCACCCGCAGGCATCGCTCAAAAATCTGCTCCCTCATCTAGTTCGGGAAAATTATCCCGGTTCAAGACAAAAAAAACCCCAAGCAACAGTATCTCAAAGATCTATCAGAAATTCCAAGCCTTCATCCAAGGGAAAAGATGAGGAGGCCAGTACTACTTCTCTGACACTATTAGGATTTGCTTTAGGCAGAGTCTGCACATTCATACAATACGAACGCTAATTATTACATTATCAGGTGATAAGGCTAAAAATAACACTTACTGGAAAAGACTTAATGGACCAGACAATTTCACTGTTCTCTGGAACCCATTTGACACTTCCAACAGTGGTTTTAAACTTTGGCGAGTCCGCGTCATTTGGAACTGGAATGTGAATCTCCACATTGTTGGCGGTTGACCTACGCTTAAATTGACTTTTTGCCTAAAGAAGAAGAAAAAAAATCAGAAAAGCAGGCCTCTAAATACTTATGTCGTGCAAGTGAGACCAGAGAGCTGCAAGACAATTCCCCTCCACCCCAAGTTACAGGCTGAGAAACAGAACTGTAATGCAGATCCTAACTTACAAATGAAGTTTTGAGTAAGATGCCAGTCCCACTTGAAACATTAAATATTTGTACAAAACTGCACAAGCTGCTGGTGAAGGTTTGAAAATAAATGAAAGACTAAAATTTGCCATAATTGTACCGGAACTCCTGACCTTGATCATGTACTCGATGCGGCTGTGGGAATGTTTTTCGATCACAGACTCAATCCAGATCAGTGGTTTCACCTAAGGGGGAAAAACACTTCACAGCTGTAGGTTCCACTTTGACACGGACAGGAAAACGTTGCTTCCCCTGAAACTACACTCAACACGTGAACCCCACAGAAAACAAAGTCTGTGGTGTTTGAAATGACCAACAAGCTGTGTTTTTAACAAAAACGTTTATACAAATGAGCAAGTGCTGATATAGATCAATGTCCAGGTGTTACAACAATTACAGGCTTAAAAAGGTAGGTCTCCCGCTAATCCCTAATAACACACACTTGCATTCCAGGATATATTCTGTGAATTCTTCACAGAGAGGGTGGTGAGGCACTGGAACAGGTTGCCCAGAGATGTTGTGGATGCCCCATCCCTGGAAGTGTTCAAGGTCAGGCTGGATGAGGCTTTGAGCAACCTGGTCTATGGAAGGTGTCCCTACCCATGGCAGGGGGGTTGGAACTGGATGATCTTTAAGGTCCCTTCCAACCCAAACCCAAATGATTCTATATGATAAACACTAGGGACTCAACTATACCAAGCCCTAAAAATAACACTAATTCAAATCACTGCCCTTCAAATAAAAAATTAATGCTGAACTTTTCATTTGTTGTCTGCCTCTTGTCACAGTTGCACATTACAGACCTCCTCCGTATCGCACTTGTTGGAAAGGAGCGCTATCCTTCTCACCGTGGCTGTCACCCGAATGACATGAGATGACCTAAGTACTGCTGTTGTCAAGCTCTGTGAATTGCTACACTGTCATTTCAGCACGCAGCTAGCTCCAAAGGATCATCACAGAGGGGTTAGTTCAGAACCAGCTTCCTCAGCAGTTGAAAAGAGACAGACTGAGCGCCGAGTTATTTCTGAACTCATTCTCACTCCCCCCCACAGGCAGCGAGCACAAGGCTTTGCTGTTCACAGCTGACTTGAAAACTACTCTGCTGCCCATGGCTTAAAACAAAAATATTAAGGGAAAGCCATTAGCAATTCTGCCCACAGCCTGAAAAGTTATCACATAAAAGCTGCAGAGGCCCAGACTTACGTGGGTATTAAGACGGTAAGACATGAGTTCAAACTCCCCGTCAGGCGGAATGAAAGAAATCGTCCTGTCGTTTTCAAAGCGCGAGAGACGAACACACTGGTGAAACTTCACATCTTCCAGTTCTACTGATTTGCTTTTGCCACCTAGCAGAAAACACACATTTCAAGGTCCGAAGTCTCATCGCAGCCCTACGTCCCAGTGAAACAGCTCTGAGGAAGCCCAGCTGGCTGCCATGGACCACCAGGCTACTCCACCTTTGCTCGGTGCCGTCACACAAGACCTGACGTGGTTTTCTACACTGAGAAAGGAGCATTTCTGTCACGGAACAAACACTTCCAGCTGAACCTCAAGCTTCGCCAAACCCAGGACTTGAGATAACATCTTCCACGATCGCTATCAGTGAAATACTCACGGCCTGTATTATCAAAGAGAACTTTGTCGTTCACTACTCCACCTTTGCTCGGTGCCGTCACACAAGACCTGACGTGGTTTTCTACACTGAGAAAGGAGCATTTCTGTCACGGAACAAACACTTCCAGCTGAACCTCAAGCTTCGCCAAACCCAGGACTTGAGATAACATCTTCCACGATCGCTATCAGTGAAATACTCACGGCCTGTATTATCAAAGAGAACTTTGTCGTTCAACCCGCGGCTTTCCTGAGAGAAAGACTCGCATTTTAATGGATCCAACTATCTCACTCCGTAAGACGTTTCCATTGGCACTGACCTACACGAAGGGAAAGAAAGGTAAGATTGCTCTGACGTGGTATGTCGTGACATCAAACAATACTCCCAACCCTGTTCCCATGTCTCAGGTTTTCTTGGATGTCTTTCTCCTGAGAAATTAATCCAGGAGAGTAGAATTAGGTCAGGGAGGGACAGGCACAGAGAGAGGAGGAATCATGGAATCATTTAGGTTGGAAAAGACCTTTAAGATCATCAGTTCCAACCGGTAACCCAACACAAGTGCCTGACAGCCTTTTTGGTGAAGAACACATCAGAAATCAGCAATATAGCCAAGTAAAGCATTACTTGCCTACTGGATGTCCTTAGGGGTACCCGGTCTCAACAACTGACATTGTTTTGAGCACCACAGGACACCAGGCACAGTCAGACGTCTGTTGTACTCTTGCAAGTTTTCAGACAAAACACCTTTTTCAACACTTCCCATTACAGTTCTCATTAAAAGTTAAAGGTACCCACCAAAAGGTTAACAGACTCTATAACATCCAGGAACACTTCATTTTTCCTGTATTTTATCCCTTCTGATCTCCACGAAACGGCATTTGTAACAGTGGCAGGTGGACGTGGAGCTCCAGTTTCAAGTTTATGTCCTTCCTGAGTGATGTACCTTTACAGCCACAAATTGGCATAAAAAAATGAAAATTATTTTTTCTGATAATCAGACCAAGCAAAAACACTTGCTTGCATATGGAAGAAACTTTCCAAGGAGTTTATCACTGTAAGCAACGGGGAATGATACTTACTCTTGTAAAATTTTACTATCAGTGGTTTGCGGATAACCAAAATCCATAAGCTCATCTAACAACTCATAAATAATAACGAAGTTATCCCTAATGCTCTCTTCTTCCAGCTCCTTGAAATATTCAGAAAAAACCTGAAACAAAATTGACAGGAGGGAGGGAAAGAAGGACATTAAACAAGGAAGCACGGCATGCGCAGAATGTATTCTTGCATCGAAAACAACGGTTTTCAGAAAGCTCCAAACCAAAACCCCTAATTCATGAACAGCGTTCTGTTCAGATTAGCCTGAGGAAACCCACCTCAATTAAAAGAGACAGAGAATCCTAAAAGCAACTCTGTTACAAAAAATATTTATTGTGGAGAAAATATTTTTCGTCCCAGGTACCAATGAACCAAACACAGAATCTGCACGATACGCCGCTACTCGTGCACCAAGTTCCCTCTGTGTTCTCAGGTCTTGTGCAACTACTTACAGCGTCGCGTCGCATCCTTTGCCTACTCAGCTACAAAATATCAATTCCATTATTAGGGGTTAGGGAGATAGTTCTACAAAATGACCAAATACAAAGACCAATGACCAATGACCAATACAAAGCTATTACCACCGAGTTCTTTAAAAACGTGAAAGCTCTATGCACTGTTCTGTGAGATCAGATTTAGACTGAACCAAAAAGAAGACAGAGGTTACTTCTGAAATGTCATACTCACCTGAACTACTTTATATAAAAACGAAAACACCAGCGATACACAAGCATTTTTCTTCGAAGTTGCAACAACTGATGCAGGATGTTGAGGAACACGCATTCAAACTCACCATTCAAGAAAAAAAAAATGCATTTTAAAAGCCTTTAGGCACTTAGAGTTGGCCAAAAAAACCCCTAAGAGTTAATTAATTAACAGTATCTCTGGTCTAACCAGATATAAAGATAAACACTTAGGAAATAATTTATTAAAATTAACATAAGCCCTTTCCTGCACCCTACGGTGCTGGTGCACATTACAACGTGCAAAGCACAAAATGACTTTATTTAATAGAGCGTCCTTTTGCCTCTTCACCCATCCCCTAGCTCCGCATTTAGACACAACGAAAAGTAACGTGGCAGCACTTGGCACATCAGCACATGCGACCTGTTTGCAGCCTAAAGGATACGATACAGGTTGTTATGTTTAATCCACATAAAGCGAACTCCTCCGTGTGCTAGAATAGGAGAAAGCGTCCCCTCTTCTTCCTTTTCCATAAGGATTGGCATAAAATGCTCCACCTCGGACATGTCCACATCTCCACGGTAATTCCGACAGATGAGAACCTATAAAGAGAGGAATAAAATCCTTCATTTATTCTCTTTCATGAATGGTGTTACCATGCGAGACCAATGCAAAAGGTATTCGGAAGGCCTCTTAAAGTAAGAAAGCTGCCTTAAAGAAGACACCAAGCTTCACTCCAGTCTCTATGCATACCAGAAATGCAAATCACAACGCCAAAAATCTCTGCTGATTAGAAAGCAAATCCTAAGGTTTCACTGCAAAGTCATGTCTTAATGTTTTCCAGTTATTCTTCACCTATTGCTGCACAGACCCTAAAAATGCTTTTAAGATGGGACAACACACACCTCCTCTGAGACAAAGTGCCTCCAATTCCGGCAGGGACTAATCGCCTGGGGTGGGATGCCCAAGGGCGCCGCCGGCACATCTGCCATCAGCAGCCACCTCCCCAGCGTCTCTAACCGCGGCGGAGACACAGCCCACGACCCCGCCACAGCTCCGACCCACGCGCCATCTAAGGCGTGGGCTGGCAGCAAGGAGGTGCCGGCGGGGAGGGGGACAGCGTTCCCAACGCGGCCGAGGGACCTCCC